GCTTGGCCACGTGCTGCGTATGCCAGTCGACCGACTTCCTCGAAGGGCTCTTTTCGCCCAACCATGTGAAGGTTGGAAGAGAGCCAGAGGCGGTCAAACAATGACTTGGCAGCGAAGTATGAAAGCCATTACCAGCAAACTCAGCTGCGCTGGTCACTGCCGTCTTCCTGGATGAGGACTCCGAGACGGTCCACATCAATGGCTAGAGACATTATCAGACATGGCCCAGTCGCGCCCTCAATGGCGCTCGTGCACCCAAGCTATTGCCTTCAATGCATAGATCCTTTTCCAACCCCCCACTTGACAGCCCACTGACAGTGCTGGATTTATGCACCAATTTACCAGCTCGCGCGTGCAATGCGCAGCTACTTACCCCCCAAATCATCGGTGAACGAAACTGCGGCAGCTACAATGTACGTACGACGAGTACGCGGTTCTTACAGCTGACGATGATGATGATGCTGATCGTTTTGATCCAGGTTGCCGGGCCCTTTTCTCGCAACTCTGGTTCTTACAGCTGACGATGATGATGATGCTGATCGTTTTGATCCAGGTTGCCGGGCCCTTTTCTATAGCGCAACTCTGTTCGGGTCATTGACTAGATTCGATATGAAACAAGGGCGTATCCAATATCCATGGCAGCAACAGTAGTCTGTTTTTGTTCACCCACCCTGCAGCGAGCAGGGATCCCCGGCTAATGACACCATAGGACACCAGTTTGGATCGAGATTTGGGATCGTAAGAATCGCGGTTAAGCGGGTGGGAATGATGGCAGGTCATCCAAACTTAGACGGCCGGATGGTTACGGTTCTCAACCGAATTTCCTCAGCCAAAAAGCCTGACCGCAAAGCACCGGTTAATTTCATTCTTTAAGGAGCGGGTCGCCACCCGTATTCAAACACCCAACCTGTCAGACCAGGAGACTGGGTTGGTCATACATGTGACCAGTGACCAATCTGCCATTGCAAATTCTGCGAACGTCGCATAGACAACATAGTATGGCCCATTTGTTCACAGAGACGAACCACGATAACGTCGTCTCTTCGCGGCGAGTTACCACAGGAAAATACGCACAACCAGTATGTGTATTTTGGAAACTATCAACATTACAACCTGCGCTGCATGTCTCTCTCTTGACAAACCATCGACTGCTTTTATCGGATTTCGTAGTTATCGTATAACACGACAGTGATCGGTCGATAGGAGTGCGAAAAGCTTTCTTTATTCCATTGATTTCTGTCCATGTATGGTTATCTCTGAACGTTCTGTTGGTGTATCAAATATCGATAGGTAGTATCCTTTCGGACGGAATATTTCTTACTACCCCATCTTAGCCATGGATGTCCGAGTACGCGCTTGACTCCGTTACGCATGGATTGCTACTAAGTACGACGAAAGCCTCAAACCGAACCACCTTCCTCGATAAGTTTATTTGGTTGATTCTTATGCCTTTAAATTGCCTTTCAGAAAGTTGTTCAATTGTAAAAATCAGGACATGTCACGAAAAGCCAAAGTGCAGTATATCGAAAGTGCGGAACCATCCTTCATTCGGGAATTTAAACAGCGTGCTGGGATAGGCAACATGCCTTCAGTGGACACGAAGGTGAGTTAGTCGCATTCTCACATACCTGGCACTTTATGGAACCCAGTGCTGGGTTCTCTTTGCTTTTGGCTTCTTCCACTTCAAAACATCCCACTGGTATCTCTACTACGCTTTCATTAACTCCAAAAGACTGACCTCATGCGGAAGGAATGTTCATATTTCAATTCCCGCTTTTATGAGCCGATAGGAAAGCCTCACTGTCCTCCATGATGATTTTAGAAAGAAAGCCTGTTGAGTAATTCTAATGAGGATGGAGATCGCCCGGACGAACAACCTCAAATTGTCTTGGACCCAAATTGTGGGGTTTCTGAATCTGAGGCCCGTTCGTTTCTTGAGCAACACACAGTAAAATCACTCACGGAAGAAAACCGGTCGACTGTTGCCCAGAAACCATCGTCTGATGCTAAAGGTACCTGACAGTTTTGAGGTGTATATTGCTCATTTTCAGGCGCACTCAGAAAATACAAATTTTGATTTCATTTTCTTCTTCCTTTCAGAACCTCTAAGCCTATCACAAGCAAAACCGGGCAAAATTCTCTACCGGCCGACCGCCGAACGCACCACAAACGGCCGAGCTAAGGATACTGTACGTAATAAGACACGCTACATGGATGAAACTGGTGCTTCCTCGCGTGACCGATCACCTCTGAACCGCAAAGCTGACAAGTCAACCAAGAAACCGGGTTTATTGTCGTTTAATCCAGAGGACGAGGACGATGAATGAAGTCGACTCCGATTCTTCCGTATAAATGTAAATTTTCATGCAAACCCTGAATCTCAATATCTCAAAATACCGTCTGGCTTAATCTGTCATTGTCCTCAAACGACGCTACACATTGTCCAGCCGATTCAGCCATAAATCACATAGAAGTGGTATCATTTGCCACTAACGCTGGAAATTTGAGAGCCACAAGGTGGAAATGGTGGCTTTGAATACGGAGTCTTAATCTAATCTACACTACATTTGTAAATGTGTTTCATCACTGGTTCGAAAACAGGTAGCCAGTTGTTAATAATAGGAACTCCGAGAGAAGACGCTGTTTGACATGCCACTGCCGGTTGCGTCCCGAGTGTCCTTGTGCCCTAGCCGGGTTGATAGCATCTGGTAACGAGCCTTGTTTATAACTTCCTCTGCCCCGTACACACTAGCGCTAACGAAGCTCGTTGAGCCGGATCGTCCCTACGAATTCACAGTACATACTCAAACCAACGCACCCTACCAATAGCGAGTTTTTTGCGAAAACCGTTCAACATGCCTGAGCATTAAACGTATAAAGACGTCGATGGTCACACGATTCTGGACTATCTGCAATAGTGTGCCTGATAGGCAACTCCCCAACATACAATAACTCCCTGATGGAAATGACCAAACCAATAAGGATCCCTTAACGCAACAAGGAGTGTCTATGGCGAAAAGTTCCTCTAAAAATAATACGTTTTTTTTACTATCTACGGCATTCACTGTTTTATGGCAATTACGATGAAGTTCACTGCGCCTACAACCGCCCAAGGGAGACTGCACGGAACGAGCAGGACAAATTAGGAGTGAAGGGTACTTCGTGATCTACGCAAAAGAACCAGACCAGATTACTACGACCGTTATGATACCAGATATATGTTCGGTCAGTATCCCTGTTTACGGATAACGAGAGACTGACAGAGAAAGTCAAGTTAAAAAAAGTCCATTTGAAATGGGTCACTGCAAGCTTTTTGGATCCCAAATTGTGTTAAGGACACCTCAACCGCTGGGTCACCAGAATGCGTCAATCTCTGAGTCTACCGTAGCATTTAACGTTCCGGCTGAAGTTTCACGGGGATCCGTTATGGGTGGTCCCAGCGCTTGATCGAGAGTGAGCCCCTGTACAACCAGATGCAATGTACAAGGTACTACAGAACACACAGGTAACAAGACAAAACGGTAAGCATGACCGTTGAACCCCGAAGATGATCTCACCCGCCCCATCCATCGGAGCTGATGTATTTCCTTGTCGTTGGTGTGGAATGAAGGTTTAACCAGCCTCTCCCCCTCCTAGACGGACAAACAATGGACCAACCAGATTATAACGCCTGACGCCCACCTCCTTTTCTTCAGCTGATGCAACCACCTCTGACATCAGAACAAGACATCCTGGAAGGGGCATACATGGTAGCATGTCACTTCAGAGCTGTCCAGAGTGAAAAGGACGTTGTTCGTTTCCCAAACACTCAAAACCATAGTAGGGTGTTGGGAGGCTAACAGTCGTCAAGCAGGGGTCCATTGTGAATGACCTGAGCACACACAAGATACACGAGTGCATTGATTTTGATCCATTAGGCTGGTCCTGAAAACAGGTGTACATTTAGCTTGTACATACCGAAATTGTTTGTGCATTTGTGCATGCTCGGTGGCAAGCTCTCAACAAACACGTTCGTGGATGCCACCAAGTTTCCAGTGATGGATAGCCTCATAAAAACAGTTGAAAGTGAGAACAAATTGAATTCAAGTCTAATTCAGGACTAGAAAATGTGATAGTAGCTGTTGAACTAAATGCCGAGCATCTCGTGAGATTTTGACCGAAGCGCTCGATGAAGCTTATCAATTGGCACCGCAGCTTTTCCGTTCTGGATGATCATCGGCTTCTGAGGCTTCGATAAGAGATGGAAATGCTCTCAAATTGTGAGAAGACGTTCAGTGCCCATTTTTTTTCTGGTTGAATTACAGGACACTGGGACTTTTTGTTCATCAAATACAGCATCCAGCACGCCTTGCGGTGACGAGTGATATGCGAATGCACTAGATAGCGCAGGCTAAAGAAGAAAAGGTTAGAGCTTAGACTATCGGGAGCGGGAATTCCGTTTGTTATTTAAAAACAGTCACTGACTCACTGAGTACGCTTATTCCTTGCAAGATATCGGTACAGTTCACTGGGCTAGGCGAAAGTATTGAGAGTTCTCATTATCGAGGCTTGCTACAAAAACGAAATGTGCAATTTCAACTTAACTTGGGAGTTATGAGGTAATTTTAGCCAACAATAGCACCAAAACGTGACCAACGTAGCTTAACTAGGGTACGTTGGCTTCATTTATCCCAATTGCATCACGCGACCCTGCCCAAACTAACCGACCCGTGTGGGCAGAAAAATAGATCCGCCCTCGGCACATTAACAGCAAAGCGTCGTACGTATCCAAACCTCAAACTTGTCATAACCGCATCTTTTGCTTCGAGAACGACGCCGGTGCAATTAGTTCGATTTATTGTCAGCTGTATCTTCCAACTTACACAAATAAAACGACAGGCGGGTCACCCGCCACCACAGGTGGAAAAAGACTGTCAACTTAGTGTGACACCAACGAGTTAAGTGCAGCAAATTACGCAGTTTTTTTCGCGAACTGTAGCAGAATCGGGATTCCTATCTGTTTCGTTCTTCCGCCCGTAAGGTTGGGTACATCGCGTAAATGCGAATGGTTAGTTACGATGCCGCGAATATTCACATCTGAAAGACCTTAGAAAATCTTAATACCCCCAACAGAACTAGCTCAGCTGACAGCATGCACATCTTGTTCACCCCTTCGGTGCTCAACTGCCACGCCAGTAGAAGGAAGCACGAGGGCTGGGATACTACCAGGTTGCCCGAGCCTAGACGGGAGGTCGCGAGACAAAGGTAGGGTTCAAACCAGGCACCTTCCGGTCAGTAAATTCGCGCTCGAACCACTGAACCATCTCGCCCCCCCCCCATAGACAGTGGGCTAGTTGCATAGCAAGTAGCGTCAAGTAGCAATACTAGGGAAAGTATATGGGAATCATAAATGTGAGCGATCACCGGACAATAAGCTACTTTCTCGCGATACTCAGTTTATACGCGTTGTAATCGCAGCCCTAAAAGAAACGTACCATGTTTGAGCAGCTTAGTTGATACGCGTTGTAATCGCAGCCCTAAAGGAAACGTACCATGTTTGAGCTAGCTTAGTTGCAGGCGTGCCCCTGAATAAAAAAACGCCGACACATGAGCTGTTGGGAGCCGATGGGCTTCGGTCTAGCTGCCGGACGACGGGGCATAATTGATACGATTCACTGTCTGAAATCAGACCACAGTAATCATGTTCAAGTCGTCTTCGTTTGGTTTTGGTTCCAGGCAAAAGACAATAAGAGTTAACTTTGGTATAAAAAGCAGGAACCCCAAGTACAAACGTATCAGTCTAATTACATAAATATGAATTTAGTGTTAGGAATAGACGTAACCGTCACGTCTATCTATCATGGTAACCGCTTTCCAGACCCACCAAACATCCCAAATGCCTTCTACTGAGTCAACATGTCTCAACCTGATATAAAAATACAGTAAGCTAACGGTGTTGAACTGGGTAGGTACGCATATATGATACGTTCTGGTGAGATTACCTGAAGTGTCTAGGGAACAGCCGCCACTCATAAGGAAGCGTAAACCTGATACTCAACCAGACAGCCGAATCGGATTCAACCGATCAGTGGAGTGAAAATTCAGCAGGTACAAACGAGTGTTCGGTCATCGTGCAAATTGCAAATCAAAGAAGAACACATTGCCTAGGCGAAAAAAAGTGAAGTCAACCACTGCCCGACCTAGTAGAGTAGGTCTAAACACACGTCGATTGCCGATTGAGGATGAAAACGCTGTACATAGAGTGGGGGAAAGAGGGCCATTGGGCTGAATATTGGCAACGAAAGACGTTCCGGTTGTGTACCATGCACTCAGCATTCCGATTAACCCATGCGTCCTCCAAAAGCTCCGCCCGTCTGAAGCTGGCGCATCATATTCTGCAAGCCAGCCATCCCGCCCATCTGATGCAGAATCCGAGGGTCCAACACCTTGGCCATCGACTGATTGAGCTTGGCCATTTGACCTGCACTCACCGAGCGCGAGGCTGCAGCCATCTCGGACAAGCTTGGTGGATTGCCTCCCGGTCCACTAGGCCCACTAACACCTGCACGGGGGCCGGTCTGGAATAAACCTTTGATACCACCCATTTTCTTCACAACCATGTAGAACTTTGTGTGTTGTGTGAGTAGCAGCTTAACTTCCGCCTGACTCACACCAGCGCCACGGGCCACACGTAGAGTACGGCCGGGTTGGCGATTGAACAGTCGAGCGCCCTCGTCTGAATCCAATTCGTAGTCATTCATACTATCCATAATGGTCATCAGGCGTTTTAGACGCTTGTGACTTTCCTGAGAAAAACAAAAACAAAAAACCGGCGTACAGTACGAACGCTGTGAATGTATCGTTCCGGGAGTGTTCACTTCTGGAAGACCTTATTGGAACATGTGCCTGGATAAAAGACGAGCTAGTGTAAGCAAATAACGTTTGGTGTGCTCTCCGTCCTGTCTGATGGTAACTACTGCAATGTCAAACCACATAAGTATAAAAAGAATCCGTCGATCAGTGAATAGCTTAGTTCAACTACGACGGAAGTGGACGTCTCTGGAAGTGGAATGTTCTACTCCTTTAGGTTACGTGCGTGATTCTACATCATAAAAATTCTCCATAAATAAACACGCAACATTCGCTAAACTCGTTTTGCAACAAAGTATCAATATCACCCCATGATCAAGAAACGTCGAGGAGAGGAAATAAGGGGGTTGGTCTAGTGTACACGCTGACAGTGTACAGGACTAAAAGGATTGAGACTTGTTGCTCTATAAGGCCTTGACATACCTTCACATCACTCATGTGAACAGTCCTCCTCCAAGTCTGGCGCAATTATTATAGTCAATCCACATTTTAAAAAAACCTGGGAAGCACTGGATTCAAGTTCCGCTATTATTAGATATCATCAGCAGTGCATATCCAATGGCCGTGCTGGGGTCGGAACTCCGGACATCTGACATGCGAGGCGAGCGTGTTACCACTACTCCAGCGGCACAAGCTGGACGCATTTGAATTTTCACGTCCGAACAAATGATTGTATTAACGCATGAGCAATGCAAGTGGTCTGCTCTATGACGACCCGGTAACTCCCCTGGTTGTGTCAACCGATTGACCTGCCTGTCCCAGTCAGGTAGCGCCACGGACGTGTGAAATCTGCCGGACCATTCTTTTATTAGTAGGTGGTTGTGGGATTTATAGAATCCACATGTGCATCACCCGTTTGAACGGTCCTCCTCCTTTGGGGTGGACTCATAGATAATTGCACCAAGATAGGGGGACTACTCACATGAAAGTGATGTGAACGTAAATACTGCAAACCCCCCAACCAAAGACAACTGATACGGATAGCTATTGAATTTCTCTATATGTTAATAACAGCAGTGAAGCAAACCTAATATCTAACAATAACATAAGGAACTGTGAATAAGAATTGAACGGCCTGATTCGCCAAAAAAGCCTACGTTCCCCATGCTGGCGTTTTCAATAGACCAACCACCAAGGGGGCACAGTGAATTAGATACCCAAAGACGTCAAAACCCACGTACGGCGTTAAAGTTTATGCAGCTAAAACACTTTTGGAATTCAGCCGCATTCTGGACGCACCAGTGGTTACATGACTAGCTGCCAAGCCAACTAGAGCTCGCTTTGATGCTGGACCGAATACTGCTGGCAGAATATTCTGTCCGATCACGTGCAAGTCAGGCTCATTGGCCCTTACAACACCCTAAATGCAAGCAACAAAGCAGTTTTTGTGTATAATTGCGCCCAACATCATTCACCAGCATCATTATCAGAGACAGCAACATCAGTGTTGATATTGGTGCCTCAGTGCCGCACAACCGTAAGGTTCGTCTAATTATATTTAAAGCCTAAGAGAAGAGGAGAAGAGGAAAAGAGTGGGTGAGAGAAGGGACCTAATGCTGGCCTATGTCAAGCATTCTGAGGTGCCTAAACTTCCAAGCGCTCAATCAAACAATCTGGAAACTGATATCGATGAGCCGCCATTTCTTACAATGTCCTCAGCGGAGCACAAGTGGGGTCACGGGGATCCCACCCTGGAAGGCGTACCGCACCAACAACACTCAAACTCTGTAATCTCTTTTAAATCCTTCTATCAAGTGATACGTTGTCCACCTCGCGGTTTGTACCATTCTGAAGGAGGCACAGTGAACAACACTGGTCTCCGTAGACAGTGTTCCGGCATGTGTAGCACATTCCCGAGCCCCCGTAGTCGATTGAACTACCCGCCGCACAACAAAATACCCGTTTTCTAATCACCTCTTTACTAACACGCTGACGCCATCCAAAACCAGCAACTCTTCTGAGGCATCAGTGGTCAAATACCTGAAGACGCCTCACATGATCTGTCCTCAGAGGCTGCGTCTCGCAGTCATACAACAAAACAGCCCTTACTGCGGCCTGGAACACGCGACCCTTAAGACCCAGTGATATGCCCTTTTGACGCCACAAGTGACGCGAATCAGAAAACGTGATTCGAGCCTTTGAGATTCTTCTACTGATTTCATCAGACACATTTCTGTCAGAGCTAATACAACTACCGAGATATGTAAATGTTCCCACAAACTCCAGTGACTCTCCTTGAACTGAAAGAAGTGTGTTCAGAGATCTAAAATATGATTTTTCACTTGGAAGGTGTAAAGCGCATGCATGGCGGTGGTCAGTCTACTAAACAGGGCTTCTGCTTCGCCTTGGTCTTCAAAGATGAGGGCGATGTCTTTGACAAGGTTCTCACTAGCAACACTTAGAAAACCTGGGTTTGAAAACCATCTAGCAACAGACCTCCCAGCCCGACATCATTGCTGATGATATCTATGGTAGTTTTCTGAGTTTTACACTTACAGTATGATCTAGAATGATGCCTTATGTGAAGAGAGATTACTCTAATCTATTATACCTCTCAATAGAAAGGGCCCACTTACGAAGAGAGCCGAGTAACAAGAAATTGCGTAGGCAATTAACATCAGGGAGAAACAAATGATACGGGGCACAACCCACTTGGTCATTGGCCAACAAGTCTTGTCCAAGTCCTGGAATGGCCGAAAGGACTTGCGAAAAGGAACCGATTTTCAAAATATTCTGAAACTGCTCATACATGTTGCGTAGTGTGAATACACCCTGCTTCAGCTTCTTCACCAATTCTTCATTCTCGTCCAACTTCAATTCAGTAACCTGAGACAAGCAGACGAGTGAAATACGGATTAGCAGTAGCACGGTGAGAGAAAACGGTGACGGGGTACCGACAGTATTAAGCGCTTTGCAAGTAATGCCGTGCGTGTATAATATATTTGTAGGATATTTGAGGGTATGGTGTTTCGAGTATTAGTCGGACTGTAAACTGATGGTAACCTCTGACGAGAGCACAGGTGTCATCCATATACTTACTTAGATTGTCCAAAAGTCTCGTCAAACAGATCACGTTGAGACTGTATAAGACCGCTAAAGAATCATGTGAAAACATCATCTGAACTGCCTCGATACGGCGGAAATCGTTTATATGGATGTGCTATCAGCATTGAGTGGTATGAATTTTTCATCAGGATAAGAGAAGAGGAGTCGCTTGTACTTACTCGTTCCACGAGACCCTCAAGATCACCAAGACCAAGAAGCTTCTGTACAAAGGGCTTGACCCGGAAAGGCTCAAAGTCATCAATATGCTCTCCAGTGCCGATGAACACAATGGGACTGTGAGTAGCAGCCACAGCACTGAGTGCCCCGCCACCTGTTGAGCACGAAAAGAGTGGTGTAAAGGGGGTCACTGAGTAATGACTTGATTTTTGCATGAAAAAGCGAGAGTGAAGAGTGGAATCCATGGTACAAACCCAGGAACCGCTATGTGAATATAGCATTTGAATAGCCATTTTCGTTAAATTCCCTCACTAGCACAATCCAATAAACACGCATGCCATTATCCGGAAAGCTAAAGCAGCTGGCATTTGATGAGTAACAGGCTCAAATGCCCTATGGCGTTATCCACAACAAGTAAAATAAAATCAATCAAGAACACAAGTTCCAAACTTTTTCCAATTGATTGAAAAGAACACAAGTAGTTTTCATGCACCACGACGAGTCACATCCGTGAAATTTCTTGTGCGGTCGGTACAAGTTCGGTTCAATATACATTTTGGATAGGAAACCATCACTCAGGGAGAGACCATGGGCTTACATCTACATTTGATAACTTACGATAAGTCGAAAATTGAGTAAGGAATACGCCACTAATCGAAAGAACGAACCTTTCGCATGTCCGTCCAACTTGGTCACAATCACAGACGAAACGTCAACCTTAGACTTGAAGGCGCTCGCCTGAGCTTCGCAAGCCTGACCAATGGACGCGTCCATAACGTAAATGACTTGGTCTGGTTCGATAGCATTGGATACCTGGTGCAAAAGAATGGGAGGTAAAGTGGACAAAGTATTTCTTTTCTTCTTGTGATATACTGTAAACTACTTTTTTCGCAGACTCGCCGGCCCAACAGATCTACTCTAAGTCCTTTCAAGTGTCGCGAAATAGTCCTCCTCTTAAAACTGCACTGGTTGCTTGCTAAATAACACATTGGATATGCAATATCACACAAAGAAAACTGGAGGGTTAAGTCACACGGTTTCAACAAGTTGGATAGGGAATTTCGGCCATCACGAGGACCACCAATGCCTCAACTTGCATTCAGATCAAGAACCATATATCAAATTGTGAAGCTCCTCGGTTTGTGCCAGATGGTCTTACAAAATGCACCCAAAATCTAATGGTCGTCCGTTTGACGACTAACCCTCTGACACGACTGGGTGTATTGTTCCAGATTTGCTTTTCTAGCAGGATTGCTTTCGCAAATCGACCGCATTCAAATATAACACGCGACGACCTTCTTAAGTGTGCCATAGGAGCAAGTATGCGTACCATAGTGCAGTGAATATCCGTTTATCTTAACCTACTACTGACTTATTGCTAACTTACTACACTTGAATGCATCAACTTTAATCGAACTAGCTCGTTTACTTTTGGTGTTGTCATTCACTGGTGGCAAGTGCACCAGCTAATGGGGAGGTCACCAAATCGACGTATCCATATCTGCTGGACAACTGTAACCTAGAAGGAAGATGTGGCCCTAAAATAACTCTCTACACTCAACAATACAAAAACAAAACAGTTGGGTGAAAATATGGTCGGAGGTCTCGAAATTAACCTCATTATCTTTTGGAACTAACATCCGAAATCATTTTCTTGCCAGGACGCCAGTTTTCGTCTCTAAAACGAACCAATCAGTATTCAAGACGCCATGGAGTGCGTCGTTCATAGAATGTTTGCTAGGGCGTCGACCAGGATGAGCCGTGCGAAACGCAAGTCTGCCGGAAGCCGCTACGCTCTTACATTGCCGTGGAGTACATAGTGAGCTAAAAGGAATGTGACGCGCAGTCCGTGAGTTTTGGAATCATGGTTCGAACATGTGAAACCTTAGAAATTCTCAGCCATCATTCAAAAGGCTGAGAACTGAGAGTTTGCACCTTTTGTTGAATCAGGGCAACGGTTATATATCCATCCTAAACAAGATGTATTCCGTTGTGCTTTTAAGAAAAAGCTTTGTTTGTAGGCGTTCACTCGTCGAATTTGTGAAGTTCCCGTAAGAATAGTAACTCCGTTGTTCTCAGAAAAGTTATTTACTCACCTCTAAAATGGGTGTAATATTTCGTAAGCTTTTCTTGTGTTTAAGTCAAAAGCTAGAACAATCAGAAGCGTGTCAAATGTTCTTGAAATATCGTGTTTTTAATGGAGATTCCAGTTAATTTAATCTATACCAGAAGTACTGTAGATTTGTCATCGTTGTTAAGAATCAGCAGAGGTAAGCATCTCATGAAATTCTACGAAGTTTCGAACTGGCGACGTCCCAGCTAGTAGTTGAAGTATTAATCGTGTTTAGCGCACATGCTATCAGAAATCTTAATTAACGGTGCCAACAACCGTCCCTATTTTTTTCAATGCATTGACAAAACACATCGGTCTTCGGAATTCACCAAAAAGGCCTCCTCACACCCCTTAATATGGTGCAGTTGATTTCGTGTCAATAGTACATACAGTTCTGAAGAGAGTTCTTTTTACGAAAGCAGCTACTAGCGCCATTCACCGGAAGTTGCCCCACTTTTCAAGCGTTGAGGCACGTTTCGCGAACGTCAGCTCCGCAAGCACTGATACACGGAAAAAAATGGCTGGTGCAGCAGTCCATCATCATCCTTACTACAGACAACACCCGTGTTGATATTTATACTTCACCCCCGCGCAATCACAACGTTTGTGCATTTATTCTAGGCCCATTAGGTAGAAAAGAGAGTAGACAGTGAAGAAACTTAGTGCTAGCATACTACAATAACACCGAGGTGATTACATATACAGAAGTTCACGCAGACAATATGGACGGAAACTGAGAGCACGTATGCCACAGGGTCTTGCGGCCAGGCGCAGGAATGGTCACGGGAACCTCATCCTGGAAAAGTTAGTGCAGAAAACACTACCCAAATTTCGCACACAAATTCACACAAACACAAAGAACACTACAAGGAACACTACTCGTCTTAAAGCACAATGATTCGACATTCGAAAAATATAGTCACACCACCACAGTTAGTTGCCTTGACTGTTGTCCGTAACTGAAGCACCCGCTGTACAACCAAACACTCGTTTCTAGATTGCCTCGTTATAAATTCGCTGATGCCGTCCAACATCGGCAAAGGCTCTGAGAAACCATCATCATCCTAGTGAAAACTGATGCTCAACCACCATACAACCGCGGAGTTAGAAAGCCGCAGCAAAGCGGAGAGAGATAGGGACCCATTTTCCTGTATGCTTAAGGGAAACAGTGAAGACCAAGATGCGTACCCTTACATAGCCCAATGGACTAAACACATCCGAATAACAAGCTGGCGCAAGGCAGCGCTAGCCAAGTCCATCCTGTATTTTTCGCGAACCTCACTTGACACAAGCGACCCAGGCAAAACAGATAGGCGTTAGTTGAGCAGTTCTGCTAGGATGCTAGAACAGCCCCGATACCGGGGTCGGTTACAAGCCATTCCAAACCAATCACATGGGCCTGACTCCAGAGGGCACAAAGTTCCCACGGCGCCCGGCCTTGTGGAAAACTGATGCAAACCTACAATATCCACGGGCGATTATGACTTTTAAATAATGTCTCCTCCCAAAGGAAACCACATCACCAATGCAGTTGAATTCGTTTTTCATCGAATTCCTTATTAGTAGAAAAATTGGGTGCGGTAACTGTGAACTGTACCTATAAGGTAGGAAAAGCACACTCGGAAAAAAGATCAATGCAACGATACAAACATTCCTACAAAACAAATATGGAAACGAACCTGCAACATTTCTTCAAACAGGGAATCTTCTTGCTTATGTCTACCACTTGTATCCACAATGATAATTTCAAACGATTCGTCTTCAAACTTCTGCACACCATCACGTGCAATCACAACAGGATCTGTTTCCGTATAAGAACCGTAGAAAGGGATGCGAGCCTTGGTAGCATTTTGTTTTAACTGGTCGAATGCACCAGCTCGATAAGTATCAGCACAAATCATGCATGTTTTCCAGTTTTTTCGCTGATAATAGTAGGCCAATTTGGTGGCCGTTGTAGTTTTACCGCTACCTTGAAGACCAACAAGCATGATGACGTTCGATGTGCCTTTCGTCGGTTGCCACGCTTTGACTTGCGGGTCAATCAGATGAACCAGTTGCTCGAATACAGCAGACTGAATGATCTTTCGCTTATTCAATCCAGCCGCCATTTCGTCAAAGTCAATCACAGCCCGGACATTTTCTCTGAGTTGTTTAACTAACCGGATATTTACATCGGACTCGATGAGTGCAGTACAGATTTCCTTGAGAAGCCCGTTTAAAACATCTTCGTTTATGATTGTTGCATTGCCCAAAGATCTTAGAGCGGATGTAATTTTTCGGCCAAGTTCCGCAAGCACCATTTTTCACGTGGTTGGTACGGGACGAAAAGCTGGTCATGAAAAAAACATGAAGATGTCATACACGCACATCGCATGCGCATTCAAGTATTCGACGGGATAGCGCGTCCAAACAGAGTAAAACCCACATAAAGTCGTGGGTACGCCAAACTACTTATTGGCTAGCTCATAATCCTAACTTGAACCCTAGTCTTGGGAATATTAAAGCCGGTAAGGAATTGGATGTGGAACTCACGGGAAAGTGGGGAAAATAACTCATGAACGGTTTTGCTCAATCGACTAAGTTTGTCAAAATCATATGCTACACCAATCAAGAATGACAGGTACTGTATTTTCCAGCAAGATAGTCGTTCCAGTAATCAGTCATCAGTTTAACTGCGAGTTCTACGAGTTTGTGAATTTGACCTCTCAACAGTCCAGGTTTGGGTAGCCTATTTTCAAGGTTGAAAATCATGAGCACAGAAACAGCGGCCGTAGTTACATTGCACGTACCATGCGAATCAACCAGAGCTCCGAAGTTGATACACGCTGATCAGCAGAGAAAACTTGATAACACCCTATCCCCTCCAGATGAAGAATCAAGCATTGTGATTACAACACGAATCAAGTTACTAGAGACCATTCGCAATCCTTTCCATCGATTCCACGTTCGTCGGCTCAGCTAAAGAAAGCGCGGGTGGGACTTACAAATTGCCCAAGTTGACTGCGCAAACCAAGAATGCAGTGCCAGGGGCCCAAGCCCAGACAGGGGAAGTCGAGATGACGAAGTCGGGTTCGAACCACGGACCTTCCGGTCAGTAAACTCGCGCTCTAATCATTAAGCGACGTTTCCAACAACGGATCATCTAGTTGACATCAACTATGACCGACATCTACACATCTACACGACCGACTCTCGTAGTCAAACCGACTGAAGCTTGTTGGGCAATGTGTTGATTACAGCGGGGGCTATCATCTGGTCAGTTGGTCAATCAGCTGTAGCACCCATGCCACTTGAAGGAAGCGCAAGGGCTGGAATACTATCAGATTGCCCAAGCCTAGATAGGGGAAATCAAGGGATAGGGGTTCGAATCAAGGACCTATTGGTCAGTAAATTCGTGCTCTAACCACTAAGCCATCGAGCATGTGGAGAACATGGTCCTAAAACGAATTGTATCCCCAAGAAATGTACGGAATATTAAGTGCACTGAATGGTCCAACTGCATGATTTGGCAGACGCTTCACATCTGCAAAGTGCATTGGGTTTCTGTAAGGTTGGTTGAGACTAAACTCACCAGTGTGACTAGCAAATCCAATTATCCGGGCATTTGCGTCATTCTTTGTGGTATATTAAAGGACGAAACCTCGGTTCCAACAAGGAGATGGCTGTATGCCGACCTACGGTTCTTGCGGTATCAGTATAACATGATTCTATCCACCGAAAATAGCAGGTACAGCGCTGACAAGAACTACGATCACAAGATACAGATGTTGAATGACATTGACCGAAGCCGGTGAGAACAGCTAACCAAAGATAGGCATGATGGGTGGATTTTGAAGGAATCAACCAACATTAAGGAGATATGAGAATTGCCACGAAGAATACTCTTGATTAACTTGAACTCTGAAGTTCAGTTTAGTTTATCGGTGACTTCAGCTGCCATGGTTTCGGTCACCGGGATGTGGGAGAGTAGAAGGGATATATCCGGGAAGATAGCCGGGTATTTTAGGCGATGGTATAATCATTTGGTTGCTACTGATTCAGTCTGGTGGTTTGGAGAAAACGGAAACTGGCCAGTTGCGCGTAGAAAGTGGCCTTGATGCACGAGCAACACCAACTACGTGGTTAAGACAAGGCCTCCATCGATGAATTGAGTCCCGGAAGCATGGGGGTTGAGATATCGTTGGGTTGCCCAAGCCTAGACAAGAGCAGTCGAGATGCAGAGGTTGGCTTCGGACCACATACCTTTCATATGAGTTTACTCAGCTTCCCAGACTCAATGACCCATTTCAATTGACACAACGAAGGATGTTTACCGCTCTCTCTCTCTCTCTCTCTCTCTCTCTCTCTCTCTCTCTCTCTCTCTCTCTCTCTCTCTCTCTCTCTCTCTCTCTCTCTCCAGTGACCGAATTCCCAGCTCCTTTGTCCAGATAATAGTCATTGCATATCGCCCCACAACTGTGGCCCAGAGATTGTCCCAAAAGGTGCAGTGTTGCTAAGGTTTCGTCCATTGACAGAAACAATGTAGGGGGGACGCCATGCATCGGACGAGACAACCCAACCACTGTGAAGTGACTGGAATTTTCGTAACTGCGTCTCCTGGTGAAGACTGGGTAAAAACGTCGAAGTAAGCAGCTCTGACTGACCGATGACCGCCAATGACAGAAACCACTGATGTGCCCCATCCCAAGGTCCCCAGTCCAGAGGACACCAGTGGCTAATGCCGGAGCTGACAGGCAAAAACCTTCACAGTTGAATGCCAGGTCATACAGTGACCACCTGGAGCACATAGCTGAGAGGGGCTCCACGAGGCAGACGGTACTCTGACATAGAAAGTATGTGGCCCTGCCAGCACAGCCGATGAAGTGGGATCAGTTCGTCTGTGGTGAGCGAGATACCCATACCGAAAATCATGTGATTTTGGATTGTCCAACCGATCTTCCGACTGGAAACTGGCAATGCTTCGGAAACACCAACGGCCAAAAGTCATATAGGCGAATGACAACTGGAGGTCTTAATGCATGATCCATGCCTGAACCTTAGAGGGGGGACCTCGTACGACAGAACGCATATATTATCCAGATTTGTGAGCGCGTAAATATTTATTGATGGAAGCTGACAAGTCTTTCACTGCATATTACATGACATCGATATTGTAAGGCAGGAGCCGAGATATCCGTTGCGGAACTAGGTCACCATCAAAGAAGAGGAGGCTCTACTATAAGTAGTCGCGGTCCTCCCAAAATTGTCAATTCGATCTCCGTCTCTACGCTGTATGTGATACCTTTATTGCCACTGGGGAAACTGGATGCACAAATATCTTTGAGTTTGTAGGCAAATCGTTTCAAGGCGAATCCGTTTTAAAATGCGATAACGACACGTTTGAGTCCTCCATTAATGTGTTGGAATATTGGTAGCTCGGGTGTATTGGTTGGTAATTGATCAGGTGGCTGTTGATCTGTTCGCCGAGCCAGTTCGCCATTAAGCCCCGAGAGAGATCTGTATTCAATACCAATGCTTCAATGCCGTAAAGCCATAATTTAGTTAAAGGCCCCGCGGTGAACAGATGAGTGGAAATGGAGGGGGAGAGAACAAGAGCTGGGCTAACATAATCATCAAAAGATTCTTAATCCTCCATTCACTCGTCTGGACAACCTGAATAGAAACTAGCAATGAAAGCACCAGTGAGGCCGATTAACAACCCCATTCAGCAGCTCCTCTAGCCCTGCAGAGGGGCACATGTAATCCATCCCTGGAGGTGAATCGCACAGACATGCTCAGACTCTTTGTAACGCTCATCCACCTAATTGGAGTTTGCACAACTCTGTTTGCGACACTCCGAACTAAGCACAAAAAATAGCGTTTGGCATACAGTTATTCGACATCCTCAAACCATGACTAAGCTGCCACGGCCGTTGAACTCGCGCACTTCTTTCCCTGTTGAATCACCGAACGATAGTTTCCTAACGCTATCATCACGAGTGTGCCACAGCAAGGCTGCACAAGACAATGGTTGTCACATACGTGAACAAATCTCAACTGGAGTGCCCACAAAGATTCGTCCCACGCGAAAAATCCGCCCATCGATATTATAGATCGTCGGTATGTATGGCGACATCTGACGGTTAAAATGTGGCCGACACAGCCTCCACCAACGAGAAATCTCACTTGACGCTGACAGGTCAAAAATTCACGATGAAGTGATGCCAGAAGCTTTGTTGCAGCGTGAGTGAAACTGACAATCCTATAATTAGTCCATTCACGGCGAGTACTCTTTCTGAAGGTTGGTGCTATTAGTAAATGACCCCACTTGTGTAGGAGGAGCATTCCCCCCAAATAGACATAAACGGGCTGGACAAGCACTGAGGAATTCACTGTCGACCTTGAACAGGCGAGGATAGCAGAGAGCCGTTTTTTCCCCTGATGGTTTCGCTAAGAAGAGGCCTCAAATAATCAGCCAGACGAATCGAACGCGACAATCTGGGGATGTTTCCAGTATATGGGGATAACGCTGCTTCACCAGTAAAAGGACAGTTACGGTGGCCAAGTGAGCTCATTGACGTCAAATGGCTGTGCTTTCCGAGTTCGACAGGGAGTGGGGGCTACGCAGTGGTGATAGCTTTGATACAGGTTCACCGTTGGGTGTGCGACACACCATATCTATCCGGATTACTAATCATTCATTGGTCCCGTCTCGGGGCCCCCATCCGGAGAGACGGTAGTTACCAACGTGACTGAATTGATTGGTAAGGACTTTCACGAATCTTCGCCAAGTCATGGATACCGCACTTGGATAGTCTCCATCCGATACGTGGCGGGGAAGGAGAGTGCTGCTGGGCAGAATATCCTCATGTACAAAACTACTAGCGACCAGCTGATCTATCCAGGGAGTGACCTTTCTGGAAAAAAGATCCGGCGTACTTCAGCACTGCTGCCTTGACGGACGGGAGTGTCCAATCGTGAGGCGATTTCTGGTTGAACTTCGAGTCAGGTCTGAGTGTGGACCTCCCGTCATGATACTCCGACACTCAGGTTCAGTGCCACACCTCAATTCATCGGCCGAAAGTGGTCATTGACCTCGCATCTTCTGGTCCCGTTAGATGTTACTCATACGGAGGAATGCCTGTGATCACCCTCTGATGATGCCAAGGCCGCCCCCTATATCGCATAACAGGCAGGCGGCATATTGTAGAGCATCACTTCCTGTTCAAAACGATGCAGAACAGTTAGCACGCCGATTCGAACTGCGTAGCCCTCGGAATCCGATGCACCTGATCCCCCACACAGTGCCAATTCGTTATCTACAGTGTTATCCACTCCTTTCCCTATTGTCTACCTCGCTGTTTACTACTTTTACCATCAATCGTCTCGGTAGGAACACAATCTCCTTTTCGCCAGCCGGAATGCCGTACACTCCACGAAGCTGAAAACTGGAACGCGCGCACAGTCAAGGTCAGGTTCAGGAGAGGAAGGGCATGAGAGTAAGAGGGGAAACACATAAAATGCTGCAGTCCATTGGCCAGTATTCTATCGGAAAATAGCGTTTGCACCTTGACTTAGCGGCTTCACAGTTCGCGTTGGACGAAGTTTGGAGACGACCTGGAGGTTCATCATTATAATGAAGACCAACCGTTCGCTAAAATTTGGTGCAAAACGCGGCTTGTTTTTATCGTGAATGGACTTAGTCACGCAATTAAAGTGTAATTACGTAAACAATCCAATGTTCAAAGATGTACACATGCCTGAAAGGACTCCACAATTCATGATCGCATTGGGCAAGCCCGTATACCTTGCCGGTTTGACGATGAAGCCAGGTGACCTGAGCTAAAACTGAAAACCATTGCTGAGCATGAGCGACTTTGGCGGTTGACTAAACGACCAGGGTCACGGATTCACGGATTCACAAATCGACATAAAGGATCGAGGAATTTACCCAATTTCCTGGGTTTTTTCTTGCTGTTCAGC